CATGGATCCATGAGTTTGAGCTTTAGGTTTGCAACTCTTAATGGCGTTGATCCATTGGGCCAAACCACTCTTCCATGAAGATGGTGTTTTCAGGCTTCAACCCCAAGTTGTATTTCTTTTTAGGTATGTTAATCACAAGTCTATAACCTTTAAGGCAAGAGATTAGTAGTTTGCTTAGTGGTATATCACAAACATTGTTAAAGATGTCAGAGGATTTTACTGCTTGATGATTTGATTTCTTCACATTTATAACCGTTGTCAAAGAAATAGGAAGGAAGAGAAAGAGGTAGTCGTGAAAAAAAATCCAGTGAAAACCAACCGTTGTCGCCAGAGCGATGTTTCATAATTTTGTTAAATTCTGGTGTGGTGAATTTTACCTTAAAGATGCGACAAGAGAGAAGTTATAAGAGTAATATTTTTAATTATAATCCACTTTTTTTTACTATCTTTGCGAAAAAAGCGTCAAATTAATTTTATTTCTAACATTTGCCATTCAAAAAAGAAAAAAAAAAGTAATTCTCATTTAATTCATTCTCTTCACACTTTCTCATATTTTAGTGTGTAATCCTATACCTGTCTTTTCTCATTATTATTTCTCATCGGCTCTTTTTTTATTGTAATTTAAGAGTTAATAAGATATCAGACAAGTGATTTTAAATACAAAAGAGAATGTGAATTATCGCATTTAAAATTTACAATTAAAATGAAAATTTTATTACTTAAAAACGAATGAGTTGTATTAATATTTTTTAAGATCAGAAATAATTGAACTATCAAAAAATAAAAAATAATAAAGTAAATAGTAAAAAGTAAAAGATAAGAATTTATAGAAATGATCTCAAAAAATTATTCATGTTCGACCGAACCTACTCTTATCCTAAAATAGTTATATTAAATTAATTTTAATTTCTCAATCATAAATAAAATTAAGAGAAAAAATAAATTATAACACACTTGAATTAAAATATAAAAACCATAAATAATAAATTAAATTGTAAATTCGTAAAACATTATACTTATCAATTAAATTTATCTTAAAAATATGAATTTATAAACTATAAAACATATATATCATCTCCAAAGAAAGATATTTTTACCTAATAGAGATCAATCCTATCAAATATCTCCTATTAGAAAATGCAAAAAATAAGAGTGTAATAGATATCATAACCACTCTCATCTCTTATGTGTGGGACCACCATTAAAAAAATTAACATTTAAATTGTAGCATGAAACTTATTTAAGCACTCTTTATAAGGCATGTTCTAAACTCAAATATTTAATTTGTGAGAGTAGTTAGCATTTAGACATCACTCAAGTGCACTTTTATTGGGGTGTCAAAAAATATTGCTCGAGAGAGTGAGAGAATTCAATAATTATTTATTGAAGAAATTTTGAGTTAAATTAATATTTGCAAGTATAATTAAATTTTTTATTATCTTATTCCGAAAAAAATCAAATTAATTCTATTTCTAACATTTGACATTCAAAAAAGAAGATAAAATTATTTATCATTGATTTAATTCTTTTTGAACTCTATCTCACATCTTTCTTCTCACCACAAACACACTTTTTAATGTTGGAAATAATCCATAATTAGAAGTTATTAGAGTCAGAATTAGTGTTGCTCAGAAGCAGTAGAGTTTCTGAGATTGTTAGTCAGAAGCAGAAGCTTCTAAGATTACGTTCAAAATTTGTTTAGCTTCTGGAGTTCTAGTTTATTTTATTAGCGTAGCTGTTAAGTTTAGTCTGCTTGTTAACTTAGCCTTTAAGTTTACCTTTTATTAAGACCTACGTGAAAATTTATTTTGCGTATAAATATACTAGTGGTAGTTGTCATTTGTAATCAATCTTTACACTTTTGTAGTCTTTATTGAAGAGTAATAAATATATATTCTCATTCTTTCTGTCATCATCATCTTGGACACTAACAATTGGTATCTAGAGTTCTGGTTGAAATCCACGAGAAACACGAGTGAAACAATGAGGCGTTGTGTGATTGTTTTTGGTTCTTGAATGTGTCTTTGAATCTCGAACAAAATCGGAACAAAATCATATTTTCTGATTCTGCGGGGTTGGGAAACACTGTGTTTAGTGAGATCTGAGAATTTTTTACAAGGTTGAACATGAATGGAAACGGTAATCTGAGCACCAAACTTTCAGTTTTTGATGGCAAGAACTGAAATAGATGGATGATTCAGATGCACGTGTTATTCGGTGCTCAAGATGTTCTTGAGCTTGTTACCGAATGTTACGTTCTAGTTGTAGAAGATGCTACAGAGGAACAAAGAAACGCGCAGAGAGACAAATGGAAGAAAGATTAGAAAGCGTTATTCTACATTCATCAATTTGTGAATTTGAACGTGTTTGAGAAAATTGTTGATTCGACGACGCCGAAGGCTGCATGGGACACATTGGTTAGGTTTTACGGTGGTGACACATCAGTGAATAAGATGAAGCTTCAGTCCCTGTGAAAGCAGTATGAGAATCTCAACATGAAGAACAACGAGAATGTTTCTGAGTACATCTCCAGAGTGGTTCTGATCACTAATGAGATGAAAGCTTGTGGAGAAACTCTTTCTGAACAAGTAACCATTGAGAATATATTGAGGTCTCTTACTCCTCAATTTGATTACATTCTTGTCGCAATTGAACATTCTAAAGATCTGGAGATCATGAGAATAGAAGAGCTGCAAAGTAGTCTAGAGACGCAAGAGTTGCATCTGACTAAAAGAACTTCTGAGAGGGAGGTTGAACATGCCCTGAAAACTTATTTTATGAAGAAGGACCAGAAGCAAAAAAAACATGGTAGGTCTCAGAAGTCAGAAGTCTTCTATTCTGATGAGAAGAAACATTAGAAGGGAAAGAAGAAGTATGACAAGAGAATGGTTCAGTGTTACGGTTGTAATAGGTTTGGCCACTTTGCTAAAAACGGTTGGTCAAACAAAGAAGAAGAAAAAATAGCCAAAGGAGACTCTGATAATGAACCTGTGTTATTGATGGCTTATGAATCTGATGAGGAACCAGTGTGATTGTCATTTTCTGATTCTGAAGGAGAAGAAGATGACTCTGAATATTCTAACTTTGAAGTGTTTGAATATGAGTTAGAATCAGAAGATGAATCTGAAGATTCTGAAGATAAGTTAGATTCTGAGGTTTCTGAAGATGAGTCAGAGTTAGAAGATGACTCTGAAGCTGAAGACAAGTCAGAATCCGAAGGTGATTATGAGTCTGAAAAAGAATCAGAAGATGAGTCAGGATTTGAAGGAGATCCTACTTCTGAAGATGAATCAGAACCTGAAGGTTCTGAAGATGAGTCAGAACATGAAAGTTCTGAAGGTGAGTCAGAATCAGAAGATGAAGAATCTTCTGAAGACTGTGAAGTTGAGTCAAATGGTGAATCTGATTTTGATCCAGATTTTAAATCTGGTGGTGATCATGCTTCTAAAAGAAAAAACTCTAAAGACGTAGGTTTTGGAGGACAAGTTTCTGAAGATGATCATGTTTTTGGTGGTAATCATGACTCTGAAGATGGACCTTCTGAAGGAAGAGCTTCTTAAGGTGATCCAACTTCTGAAGGTGGTCATAATTCTGAAAGTGAAACTTCTGAAGACAGAGCTTCTGAAGGCGATCAAACTTTTGAAGATGGTATTTTTGAAGGTAGTGGTACTAGACAAAGTCCATAAGCTAGCAAAGGTGGAGCTTCTGGTGGTAGTTGAACTTCTGAAGAAAGTCTAGAAGGAGATTCTGTTACAGAATCATAAAGAGATTCTGAACAAGTCAATAGGCCACAAAGAAACAAGACTTGGGAGTTAACTGAGCTTTCAAAGGAAATAAAGCAATCGGCGTCAGATGGGTTTTCAACGAGAAATCTGCATTTCTAAATGGAGTATTAGAAGTTGCATGCTATAGCAACCAGAAGCAACTTGTAGATGTTCTAACGAAGGATGTCAAGACTGAACACTTTATTCGTTTGAAGGATGAAATTAGTGTTGTAGTTTTTTGATTAGCTGAATATAAATTAAGAGACAGTGTTGGAAGTAATTCATATTCAGAAGTTATTAGAGTCAGAAGTAGTGTTTCTCAGAAGCAGTGGAGCTTCTGAGGTTATTAGTTAGAAGCAGAAGCTTCTGAGATTACGTCCAGAAGAATGTTTAACTTCTGGGATTCTAGTTTATTTTGTTAGCGTAGCTGTTAAGTTTAATCTGCTTGTTAACTTAATCTTTATGTTTATTTTTTGCTAGGACCTACGTGACAATTTATTTTGCATATAAATAGACTAGTGATAACTGTCATTTGTAATCAATCTTTACACTTTTATAATCATCATTGCAGAGTAATAAATATATATTCGTTCATTTTTTCCGATCATTATCATCTCGTGCACTAACATTTATGATCACAACATGCAATTGAGTCCCTTCAAAAACTGTGTAACATAACTTTATTGTATAATCATGTAATTATCTTTTCTCAATATTATTTCTCTTTTACTCTTTCTTATTTTTGCAATAAAAAAGTAAACCATATCATTTAGAGACAGACAAAGAACAAAGAAAAAATAGATTCAACATTTAAGGACCATGAGACTGACAGTGTTAGTAATTCTTAATGAGCTGAAAATAAGAGACCGAATTCTGTGTGAACATGAGACGGGATGATAACACAAATTTATGGGGTCTACGGAATGCAAACTTATTACTCCTCAAATCAATGTGTGGCATTGGAGATTAACCAAAGTAACTCGGTACTCTTCATAGCTGCAATTTATGCTAACAACTCATACATTCGAAGACGAGATCTATAGGCTTCCTTAGCTATCCTTCATGATAATCGGAGGACATTGGAGATTAACTGAAGTAACGTGGTGCTTGAAGAACATGAAAAAAGGGTGGGCATGCTCCCAGTCATTTGTCCTCCAAAATTTTCCTGCTATAGACCTGACAAATGATCAAGAATACACAAATGCATAATCAATTGAATGGAATAATAAGTTGTTACTATCTAAATGACATCAAGATTGCAATTTTCCACTTTCTTTTAGCCTCGATGGCTTCTTGGGTCTCCTCCAAGAGACGATACAGTTCTAAACGCATCTCACCAAGCTCAATAATTTCATCCATGAATTCTATGCGTCTTTTCAGCAGTGGTGAGGGAGTATGATGAGGTGATGATAGAGTGATGGTTTGAGGAATCTCATCATCTAAAAACTCTATCTTTCGTTTCTTATTAGGTTTTGGTGCCGGTGGAGGTGACGAAAATGAAACATGAGAACATGGTGATAAATGTGGTGAATCCATCACAACCAGAATTGAACACAGCAAGAATGAGAGTGAGGGAGACAAAAGATTGAGAAACAAGATTGTTAGAGAGAGGATTTGATTGAAACAACGTTGATGTTATTGTTGTTATTGTTTAGTTGTTGTATTTTATAATGTTTGGCGGATTAGGGCGCAACGGTCCTAAATATTTGGAGAATAAGGCGGTGATGAACTATTATCTTTTCTTTGTAAAAATAGTTTACAATTAAACCTTTTTTTTAAACAAACCATTATTATTACTTACATTTATAATTTATTCTTATTATTGAAATAATTAAGTAATCATCCATTAATAAAAATTATTATGTAAATAAATTTGGTAGCTTTCTTACCAGCATTACATTTATATTTATATGTTTAAATATGTTTATGTTTGTTGTTTTATTTTTTTATTAAATTTATGTTTATTGTTTTCAACAAAGAAATCAAAATATGATGTAGGTATAAATTCGAGATTTAAAGTTTAATCGAGGTTAAACCAAATTTGAATTATGTATTCATAATCTTGCATTTTGGTCCATAAAACCATTATCCTTTTTAACTATTGTTCATATCGTTCTTGTTCTTCATTTACTCTTATTTTCGGTTGGACTTTTCTGGATGTCTAACAAAAATTGAATAACACTAAAGGATGTCATGTTAAGTTTGGATTTCATGAAGGTTGTACATATATAACTTGTATGAGGCAGTTGATAGTGATGATGCAAAGGTAACACATTATAGAATATGTGCATTGAGGTCATACTCTTGTATCTGGAGTCGATACATAACACAAAGTTGAATCATGTATCTATGTTCTTGTATTCTGGTCCATACAACCAATATTCTTCTTTAACTATTATTCTTATTGTTCTTGTTCATCATCTATTCTCATTTTCTGTTGGACCTCTCTAGATGTCCAGCAAAAGATGGATAACACCAAAGGATATCATGTCAAGTTTGAATTTCAGGAAGGTTGTATATATACCACCTGGATGTTGCAGTTGAGGTTGAGGTTGATGGTGATGATGCAAAGGTAGCACATTATAGAGTATGTGCATCGATGTCATACTCTTGTATCTGATTTGCACGTCCATATTCGTGGACAAAAGTGAATACTATGTCAAAGTCGTCTACCTGATAGACTTCATTGTCTTGGAGATGATTCATGAGTATAATTGACGGGTCTCTTGTTTTATTTATCTATACTCTAAGTTAGATGAAGCTTGTTTATGAATGACTAGACACATGACAACAAACAACGCCCTATTTACGGTAATATGTTTTCACCTTTATTGTTATTGATATTGCATAAAATGTGTGCTACACTGTTACTAATATTTTATCAGAACCATTTTTAAACATGGATCTTTTAACACTTTCCACGTCTCTCTTCATGGGCATATGTGGATAACTACGACGAGGCTTTGACACATACTTGCTCTTTTATCCCGCTCAAAGGGAATCAGGCGAGGGAGTTGTTCAGAGTTTATCTTGATCCAATCTTGGTAGATGATATAAAATTTAATTAGGGGAATAGACTAAAACTAAATTATTCTCAACTGATTTTCTAAAAAAGGATTATCAGATATTTTTCAAAGTTGCGTGAGGAAGATTTAGAGCGAAGATATGAAAATTATACTTTTATTGAAACTTGATAACGTTAGCACTTAATCACTTCACTAATATAAGAACTGGTTTAATGATAATACATAAAGGTAATCAATTGATTTAGTTGTATACTTCACGATATGTGTTTATATAAGGATCCAATTTCAACAAATTCTAAACTCAATAGTTTCTCAGAATTAATCACCACTAAAGCTCGATTAGGCACCAATTATAACAAAAACTAACCTTATGTAGTAAATTGATATCAATTGAATAAATAATAAACTACTATAAGAATTGAAAAACCTAAGTATTCAATATCCTATGAAAATTAATTGTAAGAGTAAGAGAGAGAAGACACCGGGATTTATAGTACTTCAGTGTTCGTCCTTGCTTTCCCCACCGTACTCTTCAATGGTTTCCCATTGGAACTTGTTTTGTTCCATTTTATTTTAACAAATATTGCAAAAGTTCATACAATCACTTATCCACAATAATGCCAAGAAAAATAAATCTCCTATTTGGATCTTAATGCCAAACTTTTCAACATAGTTTTTACTCGATTCACACTTCTTGAATCGTCCAGTATCACCAATATGCTCCAAGCCTTTGTATGTAGCAATCGCCCATTTGATCCTACTGATTCCTTGAGCGATGAACTATCTGAATATTTGAGAAGAACTTCACCTTGTCTGTAGCCTTTCACATATTCACTACCAAGGTAATCTGGAGAGAAAAACCTCCTTCTTTTCACTGGATTTTATCAGCACCAATGGCAACAACTTCAATCTTGCAAGAACCCTAAAAAACTTGACCCAGTCTTCAAGAAAGATTAGTTTCAAGACAACGCCTCCCTCAATCAATACAAAACTATTATTATCAAGATCTGAAATCAAAATTAGAGGTTGAAGAAGAAAGAAATTCAATTGCAAGAGTTTTTTAACTTTAAAAAATGAGAGGGTGTTGATTTCACAAAAATCACAATAAAAAATGATTTTTGACTAGTAATTTTTTTTTTTGAAAAATAATGAAAAAATAATTTTATATTGTGCTTGAGATTAAGCACAAAAATAGATGGAAAAAGTTTGTTATATTCGAGTCAATTTCATTTCATGATTTGAGTCAAAAGAGCATGTAGTGTGAAATAAGATAGCATAAAGAAAATGACCCATTTTCATGTGATTAGGCTGTGATTTAAGTCACAAATGTTTATGATTTAAATCATGTGTTAAGCCTGATTCAAATTAGATAAACTAGTGGATACCAAGAAGTTTTTAATTCGAGCCATGCACAAACTGTGATTTGAGTCACAGAGTTGCATGATCTAAATCAGGTGTAATATGTGATTTGAGTCACAGACACCGAAATTTTCCTATTTTATCTCTATTTTGCTTGATTTCAGTCATGGATTTTGAGTTACTCGAATCACACACACGAAATTTCAAATTTTTAAAAATTTCAAAATAGTTTGAGATTCCACTTCCCACATGACTTGAATTGATTTTACTTATGGTTCTTGTTTCACTAACTCAAGCAATTGACTTAAACCATCATAATCAAATCTGAAATATAACAATTGAGTTATGCATGCTAAAAATGAATCGATTCAAAACTGATCTATAAATGTGAAATTATGAAGGAGACTCAATAAACGATAATAATCAATTGAAAAACGAAAGCGATAAGATAAGCAAAATAATCGATCAGAGATTCTCCCATGAATGTATTAGGGACATGCAAATTCAGTCTCCCCTAGGGACATGCAACTTCAGTCTCCCCCTTTTGATGCTTGGAAAGCTTTCACTTGGAATTGAGTCGACTTAGAGTTTTACTTTTGGCTTCCCGTGAAACATAGCACACAAACAACACATCATAAAACACATAAAGCAATTCTAGACTCCATTACAACTTCTCCCCATTTGACATAATCAAAAAGAGATAGATCAAAATGGGTATATAAACCAAATAAACAATCACAAACAAGTAATTCCAAATGAACAAATAGGCTAAAATGCTAAGAAGGATATATAATAACAAAGATCAGATACAGAACATGAAGATAGACATGTGATAACACTTTATCATTGCATATATTTAATCAAAGAAATAGGGACTTTGAGAAAATTGGCTGAAAATGAGCAAACTGTATGGAATAATCACGTTGGCCATAACGCGTTGTCGCGTGCGTGATAGAGCTGTAAAAGTTGCATCGCGCGTGATTCTATCACTGACTTGTGATGGGCCCTTTTTCTAGGCTTTTTCTGACGCGTTTTGACTGATTCAGACTACTTTAAAAGGGGATGTTTGGCATCTTTTAGGGGGTTCTGTGAATTTTGGCTAAAAGTGACGAAAAGGAGTACCGAGAGTGCGATTTCGAGAGCCTTGGATGCCATTTCTTCAAGGATTTTCTCATGCAATATTAATTGTATCAATTGGTATTTTTTATACCAGTATGAGTAATTAAACACTTATAGGTTAGGTTTTGTTTGATGAACTTATTTTGAACCTGTTGGGATATATGTTTAATTTGTCAGTGCATAAATAATTGAAGTTATATTTGTATTTAACTGCCTCTTATGTGTAATGCTTTTTATTTGAGATACTTTGTTAATCTGATTATGGGCACATAAGGATTACTGACCATAAATATATGCGATGGAACTAGGACAATTATTGTACTTACATCGTTTGAATAGGGATAAGAGACCTCTAGTAGTGGCATTGGAATTAACGTCATGTTGCATCGCATAATTTCACTTACGGCGGTTGAACAATGATATGAGACCTTTAGTAGAAATTAGTGAGCTATACACTAAGGGATTGGGTATAGTGGTTTTTTTAATTCGTCGTGAAAATATAACGACTTTATCTTTCATGTAGTGCATTAAATATCAACAGGGGAGAAATAAGGGATTTTATGCAAAACATGACCACTTTCGTATTATTTTCAGAACAACTTTTTATTTTAAAAAAAAACTTGACCCCCCACCCCAATTGTTACTTTTTGAACGTGCACAATTTTTTTTTAAATAGTAGTCCTTGTGAATACAATCTTATTTTATTACTTCGACACTATCGGTACACTTACCGAGAAGTCATCAAGTTTTTGGCGTCGTTGTTGGGGACTATTGATAATTTTAACAAGGAAACACTTGTGTAACATTTTTGTTTAGTTTTTAATTTTGTTATTTTAAATATTTATTTATTTTATCATTACATATTACTACTAAGGTATTTTGTTTGTGTATGTGCAGTGCAGGATCAAAGTTGATATCCATTGATCTAGCGATTGAAAGAACCACATGGGAAAGCCGGAAAGCTATTAGAGAAGCCACTCTAGCACATGAGACTTTAGTGCAGGAAAATTTACTTGTTTCTTTGGATAGTGA